CCATCCATCCATCCATCCATCCATCCACCCACCCATCCTAATTTTAGTTTCCTATTTTTTTTCAGGCTTTATTTCCAAAGAATGTTCCGATCTTGAGTACTTCCGGTGTCCTGAAGGCAAAGATGCCATAAAGCTATGCAATACCTTGGCTGAGTGTGCCATACCCTTATATATAATTGGCATTGACCATGCCGGGGTCCAAGCATGTGCGAGGGGCACAYCCCATGTGACAGAAGAAAACCCTTTTCTCTCAGGAATTACATTCATTGGAGGTGGTCAGTATTTCCAAGTCAGTGATATGAATCACGTCGAACAGGTAAGTACAGACCTATTTCAAAAATTTTGTCGGATACTGAGGTGATAGGTATTAGGATATATATTAAGCAAATTGTGAAATTATTCATACTTTTAGAGAAGCTAAAAGTGGAATAATTTGCACTTTATTTTGGGCTATTTATTTTGGACCATTTATTTTGGGACATTTATTTGGGACCATTTATTTTGGACAATTTATTTTGGACCATTTATTTTGGACCATTTATTTTGGACCATATATTTTGGACCATTTATTTGGGACCATTTATTTTGGACCATTTATTTTGATCTTGCTGCTTAATTACAATGTAACGGACCATTTATTCTTGAATTTTATCAGGCAATCAATTGCATAATTAAAGAAAACATRTCAATAGAGGAACACATGGGGACAGTCGACGACATTGTCATTATTGAAAGAAACAAAGAGGGTGGTAATTTGAATGTTGAGCACCTCGCAGAACACCTTCGAGAGAATCTGAACCTAAGATCTTGTACAGTTGACAACATAAAGCTCAATAACGAATCACCACAGGCTATTTCACAGATAGTGCAAAGAGTGGCTTGGGCTGATGACTTAAATGATGCTATAAACGCAGTCAAGTCCTGGAGGGAACAAAATGAATCATTAGACAGAACTAGATCAATTGATTTTTCTCTCTCAAGAGGCTCCCGCAGCTTTTCAAACTATTCAGCGGTCAGTCAATATAGTTGTGAAAGCTTTTCTTCTCTACCAACCAGTGAAATGCAAGCACAAAATCAACAAACACTCTTCCCAGAACTGAAACCAAATTCAGCATCATCTATGTCAAGAAGTATTTTTTCCTCTGGCCATACATCTACCAGTGGAGGTGAAAGTGCTAGTTTTCAATCACTATTTTCCAGCACAACGACACAAAACCTGCAAACGCATCAGCCGATGGAGCCGTCTTTGAAACCAAGTACCCGCAGAAGGAAGAGAAAAGCAGAGCACACAACAACGACTCAGAACAAGMGTCGGAATGATTCTGAATCTACAAAGAACAACAGCAGCTTCCTCACATTAGCCGAGAGGCAGAGAGTAGGTATGGATGTTGCGCGACGAATGGTGAGACGACAGATTACGAGGCAGGCGTATTACCAGAGAATTAAGTAATATTTCAAACACGTGTTTCATCTGATTTCCAAACACCAAGAAGTGAATTGAAAAAACGTAGCAAGGCAGAGCCAAGTTTCTTAAACCAGCTTCGAGGTTTGGACTCATACACCAGAGGTTAGACACTCAGACATCCCAGCCAACAAGACGAGTGCGAGAGTATATATATATATAAATAATATATAAATAATATATATATATATA